GTACCCACTCTGCAAGGCAATTGTAAACGGCATGTACTGCAAACGTACTAATAAAATAAATCTTTAAAAAAGAACCCTATTAACAGATAACTGAAGTCACTGCCTATGGCCTGTAGCCTAGATCCAGCCCATAAGAATGGTTTTCTATTATTCACACTTTTTCAGAAATACTGATTTATAACCAGCCAATAATTTAAGCTGGGAGTCTTCTTAATTACAAGTCTGGATTGGCAGTTGGGGGAGGGGTCGGGGGAGAGTCTCTGGCAATGCAAGGACCAAATCCCTCCTCTTCTGGCTGGATAAGTCTCTGGTCTGACTCTCAGACGTCCTCCTCCTTCCCCAGCCCACTTCCCTCAGCATGTCCCCTGAGCTATAAGGGAGGGAGGGGCTGAGCCTCCAGGCAGGCTGGAGCCACAGTACTAGGCCTGGATGCTACATAGTTGTACTTTCTCTGTGAACTGTTGGATACCACCTCAGATCTTCAACAGAGAGATGAGTGTGTGGACATAACAAGAAATATGCTAAAGCTAAATAAATAAGTTTTAACTGTATCAAAATAACAAAAGAAAAAATTAACTGAATAAACACTTGATGTTCTTTTCTTGGATGGTCACATGATTTAATTATATCAGTTTTTTCTAAAATACTATGTTGGTTTAATGCCAGTACAAAAATCCAGGAATTATATTTTGGAATTTGAGAATTCTCAATGCATTTGAAATAAACAAAAGGATAGAGTAGAGAGAATAGAGTTAAAGCTTATTCAGAAAGCTGGGTGTAGTGACATACACCTACAATGCCAGCACTCAGGAGTCTGAGGCAGAAGGATCACTACAAGCTTGAGGCCAGCCTGAACTATGTAGTGAGACCTGTCTCAAAAAAAGAAATTATGAAAAAATTATATAGATATAAGAATTATTACTAATCTAATTTTTCTAGACTCAATAGATAAATAAAAAAAGTTTAAAAGAATATGAGTTATAAAGGCAGCACTCTGTTGGTGATAAAAGGCAGAATTAGCCAATGAATTGTGATAAAGCATCTGATTGGCTATTTGGGGAGAAAAATGTCTTCTTTTTGTGCCATGCACTAGAATAAACCCAGATGAATTTGAAACTTAAGTGTAGAAAATATTTTATTTTATTTCTTTGCTTATCACTTAAGCACATTTCTTGGTTGGATTTATGTTAATTCATAACAATTATCTTTAGAGCTAGACTGCTTCGTTTATCATGTGGTCTGGGTAACATGAAGAAAATATCCCATTTATCCTCCAAACATACTCATATTGCTTTATTTTTTAAACAAATTTGTCCTCATTAAAAGTTCCTTCCTTCCTTCCTTCCTTCCTTCCTTCCTTCCTTCCTTCCTTCCTTCCTG